GATAGAGCAGAGTGAGGCTATTGGTGTGGGACCATGATAGAGGAGCAGAGTGAAGCTATTGGTGTGGGGCATGATAGAGGAGCAGAGTGGGGCTATTGGTGCGGGGCATGATAGAGGAGCAGAGTAAGGATGTGTTTTGAATGATTTGGGGCTTGTGTCACTTGCATCAATTTGAAATGGTTCAGAGATCATTTAGAATTAATTGATGGGAGCATTTGACCTGGATTGACCTCCAGGTTGCTTACAATATGTAGCTTTTATTCCTTATTGTAAAAGGAAAAAAATAACAACAGTTGCTGTAACTGCATAAAAAGTCTTTGCTGGAGTTCAACTGTTAGGCAAGTCCATCTAATCTGCTAGTCCATCTAACACTACCCACTCCACATGGTGACAATGCTGCTGTCCAACGGTAGCTCTGCTGCTCATTCATAGAGTAGAGCCACCCTAAGACAGAAAATGTGTTTTTACTGGCCATATCAACAGGTGAAAACAAAGGGGGGGAAAAAAGCCTAAATAAAGAAGACTAATGCAGCCCCCACATTTAAGAAATGGAAAGCAGCAATATACATTTTTGTTTTTGGGCTCAGATATGCTTTAACTGCATAAAACATTGTAGGTGATCTATCCTCACCTTCCTGCCTCACCTCTTTTCTATGGATTCCATGAGTATTCACCAATTAGCCATAATATTATAACCACTGAGAGGTGAAGGCTGATTGATAATCTCATTAAAATGGCACCTGGTAGTGGGTGGGATATATTAGGCAGCAAGTGAACATCTAGTTCCTGAAGTTGATGTGTCGAAAGTAGAAAAAAATGGGCAAGCATGAAGATTTCAGTGACTTTGAGTAGGGCCAAATTTTGAGGGCTAGATGACTGGGTCAGAGCAACTCCAAAACAGCAGCTCTTGTGGGATGTTCCTGGTCAAGACCTACCAAAAGTGGCTCAAGGAAGGAAGGATAACTGGTGAACCAGTGACAGGGTCACGGGTGGCCAAGGTTCATGGATGCACGTGGGGCGGGAAGGCTTGTTCGTGTAGTCGGATCTAAAATGCAATATTTATTTAAAATAGTTTAAAAACACTCACAAAAGTGATAATGTGATCGCCTGTAATAAATCTTCCCTCCCAGAGCCGCTGCCTGCAGGTTACACAGAATCCAGCAGGCTGGTATACCGAACGCCCATTTACAAATCCAATCCTCCCTCCACGATCTCTGACGTCACCCACTAGACACCAGGAAGTGCAGAGTTTATCCACCCACGGATGGGTTTTGTCAGGTGACTTCCTCTGGGTTTGGTCTATGTCATTGGTATTGCACAGATGGGGAGAGTTGTCACCTAGAGCATTACACACCTACTTCAGCTGAGAGACTTTTTTGCAACATTTGAACGTTTCTTGAGAAGACTTTTGTAGACTGAATATTTGACTTTTAATATTAGCGCTGAGCATTTGGTTTGATTGATATAAGAGAGAGCTTGCTTGCTCTTTGCACATCAGCTTTTAATTTAATATTGAGGGAGGAAAGGTTAGGAGTGCTGATCTTTAAGATTAAAACAAAGACGGAATCCTGTTTGGGGAAATCAGTTTGCTTAGCTTTTATTTACCGTGCACTATTTGGCCAAACATCACCTGACAATGTCACTCCTATATGAGTTTGTTAAACATCCCTATTCCAAAATCATGACCATATGAAGATCTGAAGTTCTGCCAAACAAAAACAGTTACTAATTTTGGACAGGAATACCTGCCTTGCAACTGGTCCTCAATTCATCCCGAAGGTGATCTGTAGGGCTGAGGTCAGGGCTCTGTGCAAGTCACACAAGTCCCTCGACACCAGACTCATCAAACCTTGTCTTTATGAAGCTGGCTTTGTTAATAGGGGCACAGTTATGTTGACACAGAAAAAGGCCTTCCTCAAATTGTTGCCACAAGGTTTGAAGCGCACAATTGTCTAAAATATTTTTGAACGCTGTTGCAACAACAGTACCCTTCATTTTAAATATCTGAAGTCAACAATTTGGAGAATTGTCCAAACTTTTGCCCATACAACTGTACACTCCTTTCTAAAAGCACCGACTCTTAGAAAACAAATCCTTTAACACATTAGAACAGGGGTGCCCATTAGGTAGATCGTTGATCTACCAGTAGCTCTCAAAGCTGATGCTGGTAGATCACGAAGGGTGTGAATGGCAGCACCTTTATTCTATTTTGGTATATTTATTCAGCTGTGCACCCATGATTACCTATTAGCTTGAGTCTGCTGAGCCAAGCTCCCCGACACCTTTCTGGTGGATACTGATGGTTGAAGTGCTATGTATTACATCAAAGAATATTAGTTTACACAGTCTGTTGCAAAATACAGCAAGCTGAGCCAGGAGAGAGATCGGGGAGAGACAGACAGGAGAGAGGAAAGACAGCCAGGGGAGATAGAGCGAGGAGAGACAGCCAGGAAAGAGAGAGCAAGGAGAGACAGCCAAGAGAGCAAAGAGAGACAGCCAGGAGAAAAAAACGAGGAATGACAGCCAGAAGAGAGAGCGAGGAGAGACAGCCAGGAGGATGAGCAAGGAGAGACAGCCAGGAGAGCGAGGAGAGACAGCCAGGAGGATGAGCAAGGAGAGACAGACAGGAGAGGAAGGAGAGACAGCCAGGAGAGGAAGGAGAGACAGCCAGGAGAGGAAGGAGAGACAGCCAGGAGAGCAAGGAGAGACAGCCAGGAGAGGAAGGACAGCCAGGAGAGCAAGGAGAGACAGCCAGGAGAGAGAGAGCGAGAGAGTTTTTTTATCGTTGGTAGATCTCATGTAGCTCGTCGTTTGAAAAGTAGATCTTAACACAAAAATTGTGGGCAACCCTACTTTAGAAGCTACATTTTACATTGATATTTTCTTCAAGAATATTGTGGTGTGGATCTTAATATCACGTTTCAGGTGGACATATGCAAGATATGAGTAACGAATTATTGCAATTAATGGAATTTTTTTTTTAGTACAGTAAGTACTGTACAGGTGCTAGTGATACATGGACATTTTAATTGCAAGGAAAAATGGACTTTTGCCTCTAGGTATATTTGTTTTCTGACTCATTGCTTTTAAAATATGGGAATACCATAGACTAGGTCTGCAACCAACTAATTGATTCAGCGATAATAATCGATAATGAGAATAGTTGTCAACTATTCTCTTTATTGGTTGAATCCCCTAGCTCGCTCCTCCACGATGGGAGTGGGCAGGTGCAATTGATCCCCTAGCTCGCTCCTCCACGATGGGAGTGGGCAGGTGCAATGAATCCCCTAGCTCGCTCCTCCACGATGGGAGTGGGCAGGTGCAATTGATCCCCTAGCTCGCTCCTCCACGATGGGAGTGGGCAGGTGCAGTAGACAGCCTGCTATTGACTATTGCCATTTGAAATGGCCAATAGCAGGCTGGCTATTGAACCATCCCACTACCTGCTGTATTTACATTTAGCTCCCATCTGCGGAATCTTGCCACTGGCAGCTGTCATTCACTGGCACAAACTAGTCAAGTGCCATGTGCTTACAATACAATTATTAAAAAATAAAAAATTATAACAAGTGGGAAAAAAGTCATTTTCGGTTTCAGCCTGACAAATTCTGCTGTGGGAAGTGCGTAGCAGTGCCATTTATTTCAATGGCACCCCAAACCCGCCACCCACAGTGTGATCGCCCGCACTAGAATCTTTCCCATTTCCTAGACATATAGGAGCACCCAAACCTTGCAGTGCATGGGGTAGCTTTTTGAATTGCCCCGAGATATACTTTAAGCACACACCTTGTTGAGAGAGCTTGTCAGAAGCATGTAACAATCTGCAATTAGGTTTGTAAAATACCAAAAATGTTAAAAAGTTGGATGCGGGTAAGGCTTCAGCTTAACTTTAAAGATTGATCATATGTTTGCAACTAGAAATCTGCTGACCAATAACAACTTCCTGTTCAGAGAGTTATTTCAGGCACAAAATTAATAAAGTGTGTGTGTACACACACACACACACACACACACACACACACACACACACACACACACACACACACACTATACTTTTAGATGGGTTTGAGTTGCTGGCCTTTGCATACTTCTCTCTCAATTTCAGTAACAGGAAATTCTGACTGTCCTAATAGACTTAGGAAAGACTGAGTGCCTCCTCTTTAACATACGTCTTCAGATCTTTAACCCTTTGCTAGGCAGAGAGTCCTGTTCACCTAGTTTACAAGTGATAATGAAATCTGCCAGCACGATACACACAGGGTTAATTATTTGAAACAAAGCTCCCCCAAAACCCCTAGAGTGTGAGAACCAAGCAGACTTTTTCAGTCGTAGAGTTAGCAGGGAGCACCTAAAAAAAGGTATGCTGCAATTTTTCACTTTTTTTTTTTTTTTTAAAGTTATGCTAAGTGAATGGGAACATGTGACAAATATAAAATAGGCTGCAAAAGGGGAAATACAGTTTAAGGCAACATTATAAAAAATATTTAAAAAAAACATTGGTACAGGACTATAAAGAGAACAGGATGTAATCAGGCTATAATGAGAAGACAATGCTTTTTTTTTTTTTTTTTAATCAGAACGTTAGTTTAAAAAAATTATATTGTATGTACACTACAGCTAATTAAAACTATAACTTTGCATTTTCTGACCTACTAATGAAATTAGAAATATAATTGAAGTATCTTCTCCACCAGGCTCCCAAATAAGTCATTCAATAAATAAAATCCAAACATTATTAAACTGTCTTTATTTCACAAACATGACATATCTGATAATGTGAAGTCATGACACAATTAGCTTAGAAAAGCCTTCGTTGGATCCACAAGATCCATAACAATATAAAGAAAATTGTAATTACAGAAACCATCTTAGTTGCGTTCAATAAGAAAACATTTACGTCCTTGTGTCTTTCAGGATAAGACTGGCGGCAAAGGGAGGGAATCCCTTCTGTAACCTGGACACTTCATTCATTACAGCAAGCACTGTGATTGATGACAACACCTATAGGAATGAAGATGTCAGAAATGCTAAGAGCATTCGACAGAGGGTTCACCGAACTGGAACACTTCCTCATCATAAAGGTCTTCTGGCAACTCTTCATCTCCATCAGCGAAAAAAGTAGGAAATGGAAGGTTTTCAAAGCCTTTTTGTTTGAGAGCGAGATTTGTGTCACTGACCTAGAAAACAGGGAAGAATGACATTTGATTAACCAAAGAAATGTCTTTATTTTCCATATAGGTTGATGAAACAACTTCCTATCTTTTTGATAAGGTACAGCCATAATAAACTGGGCCTAATTATCTCTAAAAAAGTATGTGACATCCAAATAACGGTTTTGCTACTTATATTTTAAACCATTCTAGAATTGTGCAACACATTGACTACTCGGCTACTCCTTTCTAGGCTTCATATAGATGAATGCTGCTTTTCAGTTATCATGTGTTTAGCCATGACAACAGTAACAGGAGGATCATGGTTGACAAACATCTTCCAGCTTAGAGAATGACACGCTTCATGCTGTGTTCTTCAACATGTAAAAATAAATGTAAAAAATTAGAGGGATAACGATATTGGCTACTGAAGATAAGAGGACCTGCTGTGATATAACAAATTAGAAGCTTTGGGGACATGTTTAAGGCTGGAGAAAAGTGAGAAGAGGTAAAATATTATTATACAGTATTTATTAAGCGCCAACAGTTTGCACTGCGCTTTACAAAACTGGGGGAGACGATACAACTAATGATACAATTTCAGTGCAGGAGGTAGGAGGGCCCTGCTCATGAGAGCTTACAATCTAGTAGGTCTATAACAGACAATTATGTTTGACCTTTGTCCTATTGTCCCAAAGCACAACCTAATAAGTAGTCTATCACTGTTCTTAATAATATGGTGCTTGGCAACAATACTAAACTGTAAACACCCATTTTATTTCAATGGAACATATTGTATTGGCTCAAACCTTGAAGGTGAAACCTGCATGAATTCATACTACAGTGATCATAGTACAGTAGATGGACTTCAATAGTCATTTTTTATCCTAGCACAGATTACAAAATGAAATGATCTGCCTGCTAAGGACAACAGAGAGGCATTTCCTAATGTTTCCCGAGCTTACTACGTAGTATTGCAGAGCAAAGAGCAGCAAGTCTGTGCAAAGTACCAAACATACCCATAGCGGTTAGTTTACTGTAGTCAGTACTACCTCACCGAGTAATCTTGCAATAAAAATGAGTTAACTAATCTGTGCAGAATGATATCGGAGTTGATTCGGAACGGTTAACAGATAAAGCATGCGTGTGAATATTAGGTAATGTCACAATGATGTTTTTTTGTTGTTGTCGTCACTATGGTCAAAATCAATCGTCTATTTAACCTCATGGAGTACTAGGAAAATCGAACAAACATTCTGAAAATGAATTTCTAAATGAAATTCTGCTGGTGTTTAGCCAGCTTTAGCCAAACTGTCAATAGCAGATGTTTAATACATTCACCCCCGTCTATGTGAAAGTATATAAATATCAGTGAAAAAAACATTAGAATACGCAGGCACAGTGCATGATAGACATACATGACAAGCAAAATAACAGCAGAAGAGATGGGATGTAAATTATTGGGGGGGGCGCGGGGGTATTGGATGGTTAAATAGGCAAAAACATGAGTATGTATGATCTGTGGACAGGGTCTCTAAAATCTGATTTGTATTTCAGGCTGTTCTTCACTACAAGAGATGGAAGCCTTTGTAAAAAATACTTTAAGCTGGATTACTTGTATGCCGAAATCCTGCTCTGGGCATTTCCTTGGCCTCACATTTCCTTTGTTGTATGTAGCAACGCTCTGCTTCTGGAACTGTACCCTGCGAATCATTTCAGAGGCTCTTTGTCTCCTTTAGTGATATTTCCTGAAGTATTATTTCACACACCGTGGTTCTACAGACTCTCCAGAAATCCTACAGCAGCGCAGAGGATATTACTGCATATGTCTTTGTAAATGAGATGTGGGGATTGCAAATAAATAGGGGGCTTGAAATATTGAATATACTTAGCAGGAATAGAAGAAAACAAGCTAGTCCTGGTAAACATAACATTAAAAACCAAACAGAACAATGCAGCAGAAAACTCTGAGTAATATTAGTTCTCCCTCAGGCCTCAAGAACTAAGCACAACAAAATTAACACAATTAGATATCTACATAAATGTCCTCTCTCAGCTGTCCTTAGCTGCACTCCTAAGACTTAAGGGGGTTGCACAAGCAAAAGATGACTATTAGATTCATAGCGGGCCTTTATATTTAGCTTAGTTATGTTTTTACAACTAAACAAATCAATGAACAACCAAAGAGGGCTTAAAAAAACAACAGCTAATGATAAAAATCATTCCAGAAAGATTTATATAGAAGAAGAGTGAAGTCAGAGAGTTGTATACCAAGGTCAAGTCATAAAAAAATCCCCAGCATGTGTAATGTGCATTATTTTCATAATCTGTGTACATCTGTAATTACAGTACAGTACCTACCAAAGCATGTGGTAGCGTGATGTAGAAAGTCAATTCAAAAAAATATATAACAGGTAATCATACTTTAAAAAAAAAAAATCACAGATCTCTAACTTCATATAATTATGAGGCCCCATAAGGTGTCTATAAAGAATATCAGGAAGAGGAGCCATTTTGGGGATTGTTAAAATACAGATTAATTCAAATAAAGGCTCTCAATATTTAAAGGGTAACTCCTTTAAAAAAAAAAAAAAAAAAAAAAATCTTAAAAAAATATATAACATACAAAATTGTTGTACAAGCCATTTTGTAATTTTATAAAAAAAATTACCTTTCCTAGTACTTTGTGAAACATGGACAAGAACGGTTTCACCTCACCTGGTTTTACCGGCATTACTATGTTATCTCTCAGGAATATGTACCAGTCTTGTTGGATGCAGGGACTGAAGGAAGTACGGACTCCTAGGAGGGGGGGGGGGGGGCCCCTCCCCCCCCGGACATTCT